ATTTTCTGTCTTATTTTCTGTTTTATATGTGAATTTTATGCTGCTGTTAATGTTTCACTGCTTTTAATTGACTTTCGGCAAACTGGGTTAGGCAATTGTATTCGGCAAACTGGGTTCGGCAAACTGGGTTTCGGCCAAACTGGGATTAATTGTTTTTGAGTCGGCAAACTGGCACTCGGCAAACTGGTATTGGGCAAAGTGGTCTCGGCAATCTGGCATTCGGCCTAGATCCTGAAAGTCCCTCTCTGGACCACTCTATTGCAAATTCCTGGATTTGCCACTGACAAGATCAATAACAAAGCTGTATTCGGTGATGAATTACTGTAAATATAATCACAGATTGTGAAAAATAATAGAGAAGGCTGTGTTTCAATCAGACTTTCTACACATGACAGTAACCAAGACATTTGACATTTTGGTTCAATATTGTACAATGGGTAATAGAATAATAAACAATTGTTACATAATATTATAGATAAAAACCTTTAGATGAACACATTAACACTAAACTTGTTTTGTAAAATTGTCTAAAACTATAGGCCTATAAAGTACAGGCTACTATAAATTTGTAAATTCAGTTAGACTCAAACATATTCAACAGACGGCGCACAGTGGGCCAGACTGAAGTCAAAGTGTGCCAAAATTAATTACTCATTACAGACGCAAATCTAAGCGAATATAAGACTTATCTAGAGGTTTTCATACCCGTAGAATTCAATAAAAGCATTTTCAAATCTATATGACGTCATTTTTCTGTGGGAAACTTTTTGTATTTTCCATGACGTCATCAAAATACATTTTTCTGACGGGGCTAAAAATGTTTTAGGCATAGGCCAACATTAAAATTTCTATTGTTAATCTTACAGTGAATATAAATGGTTTTTTTTTAATAAATCAAAATCGAAATCAAAATTCATAATACCAGACAACCTAATTTTACATTTTTTAAATGTAAAATGTGTTTGCATCTGAGATTCCATGGAATTATCAGACATTAGGCCTACACCAATGTCATAATATAGGGGCCTATTAATTCTGTCCTCAACCATGTTAGGCCTATATTGGAAAAAGTATCGATAATGGTCATTATGTTTTTTTTTTTTTTTTTTTTTTTTTTTTTTTTTTTAAATAATTCTCATTGCAGCGCGAACAAAGAGGCTTTGAAGAGGAACATTTGCTGTCCTCTTTGACAGGTATACTCTACCATAATGATAGCAATGCTTTTTTGCTACTCTTATTTTGGTGTAAGAAGGAGTCTCATTCTACTATGGAGCTACAGAGATGGACAATGTGTCATCTGTCGTGAACGATTCCGGTTTGCGCTTCAGGGGTGACGCCAGCAGGGGAGGGGAAGCAGGAGGGGCAGGGTCCCCATCATCGAGGAGAGATCCCCGTCGAGGAGAGCCCCCCCCCCCCCGGTGTTGGGGAGATAAACTACAATTCGACAGGGAGAAATAAAATGTGTATGTATTTTCTCATGTTAGTCGATAGGACGTTCCGGTTTGGGTTGTTCTTAAGTTTCTTGTGGGTTTTCAGCTGGTGTGGAAAGAATATCTCTGTTCTGTGTCAAAATATTAATAACTTCATCAGAAAATGGAATCCTGTTGTCTAGCCACGAGTTATTTTCTTTAGAAACCCGGCAAACACGTGTTTACGTTCTTATAACATTCTTGGCTAATGTTGTGGTTAGGTATGTCACAAAATAACGTTTACACAACGTTGTAGGAGCGTGAAATTATGTTCAATACGTATTTATGGTTCTACAAAATAAAGTTTTCAACACAAAACTGTAACGTTATTGTCAAGTTATCATAACGTATTATTGTTTGCTGGGAAGGTCGTTACTACTCTCGTAGTAAGTTGAAACAGGAAGCTTTTCGAAGTCTTGGACGTCTTTGAATATAGTTAAAAACAATTGACGCTTAGATATAGGCCTGCTTGTAGATATCACCTTCATTATGATATATGATATTTGGATTAGGCTACTCAAAATTTAATAAAGTATTCTAAACAGCAACAAAATATTAGAAGATTTGCTACTGTTAAATCACGAGCAGTTTGTAAATTTTTGGAGTTCTTTTCCCACGCTTTGCATCAACTGGTTGAGTAGACGCGCGTGCATCCCTCTGATTTGCGGTTTGCTCTAATTAAATTGTGTCACAAATGTTCGAAAACAAGACTGATAAAAGTGCGTCTAGCTCGCGAAGTTGCAAAATGTAGCAGCTAAATTTGGTACCATCATAAAGCTAAGGCTATACTGAAGACGGTGATGTAAAAATTAAAGCATGAATCCACATGAATCTAAACTTTCTCTCCTACCTTTCTAAAAATAGATTTTTAAATATTTTTTCTGTCGTTTAAACAACGATTTATTATTGATGCAAACTTCAAGTTTAAACCAAAACACATATAATTAATTTGTGTTCCCCAATTTATATACAAGAAAAGTGTACATTTTGGAGTAATTCCGAAATTTCTGTAGGGAAAAAAAACGTGTTTTGATATAATGTAGTCAATTACTTATTATTATTGATTTGAAAATGTATCCATAGGCTCCGACACTTAAATGGGAATTTTCACTGCGGAAATAACAGTATGCGGGCAGCTATATGTATATTTTAAAACACGTATTTTTCATTGTCGCTGTTATTTCACAAATGGAATTTCCCATAATCAGTAATTACCGGGGATTTGGCTTACCATATCGAGGTCCATTCAATAATTACATGGTTCACTGATAATAATGGTCACTATTCATAAGTTTTGCTAGTCATTATTTTAAAATAATGTTCATTAGTCATAACAATATTTGATTATCATAATAAAAAGAACAGGACTTATGACTAAACGAACATTTTGTTTTAATAATGAACTTTTATTAATAGCACACATTGGTTTACATTATGACTACCAAACAATTGTCTGTATTATGACTATTAAATTAAAAGAAATATGACTATTTTTTATTTATTCCGAATAGCGAATCTCATCATAAAAACAGCTGTCACGTCCCGTGTTTTTTTTTTTTTTTTTTTTTTTTAATTTGTTTTATGACTATTTTTTTGAACATGTCTATTACAAGTTCAACAAATATTGCACCCTAATCGTACTCCCACGAAAAATGTTTAAGCAAAAAAAAAAATAAATAAATAAAATAAATAAATAAATAAATAAATGAATGAATTAATTAATATATATATCTGTCTCTTAT